AATAATAATAATAATAATAATTTAAAAGTTTTAAAAACTAAGAAAAATAAGAAAAAAAAGCTGAGTGAGCAGTAATGAGAGAGAATAAAAAGTAAAGCCTATATCACATTGAATTCATTTAAAATTGCTTTTCCTGAGCTCACAGGCAACTTTCCTACTGTTCAATTTAATAAATATTTTTTTGGCAGTTATAAATAACCAATTTCCTTCCACTGTTTCCACGTCTTCTGTTTGCAATCCTTCGACTGGCTACCTGGAGCACGCAAAAACCCACACAGTAAGAGAGAGAGAGAGAGAGAGAGAGAGAGAGAGAGAGAGAGAGAGAGTGGGTTGGCATTCAAATTGAAGCTGTTGAATAAATCAACGCCACAAATACACAAAAATTGAATTGTGGCCAATGGCTTGCGGCGCTTGACCGCCCGCCACCTTAGCCAAAGGTGTTAATATTCAATTAAAATTCTAGGGATAAGCGGAGCGACGACGACTGCAACGGCGACTGCGACTGCGACTGCGACTGCGACTGCGGCTGCCTAATAAATTAGCGCTCAACAAGGCGCAAGTTGCCAATTTCAATTTGTTTTCGTATCATTTTGCAGTCAGACGCAGCTTTTGGCCCGATCGCTGTTAACGTTATTTATTGAGCTGCGCAGGTGGCAGCTGGCGACTGGCTGGAAGGTGGGCCAGGTGTGGAGAAGGCAAGATAGAGTTGCTGCTAGACTACAAGGAATTGCGAAGCATTTCTCACACACACACAGAGAGAGAGAGAGAGAGAGAGAGAGAGACACACACACACGCAGAGTCACTTCGACAGCTCTAATAAGCCAAGATGTCAAATGTAAACAGATTTGCTTATAGCCGTTTGCTGCGATTAGCCTTAGCCTCGTGCCACTCTGTGGCATGCCCCACACTGCGTGTGATCTTGTAATCGATGTTGTACTTAGTCGAACATTTGTAGCTACAACTGCGGCACGCCACGATATCGATTTAATGGACCCAACCAAGAGTCAGCAAAACGAAACGAAACGAAAGCATAGCGATTGACGGCGCAAGACCAAGACCATGTTCCATGCCACAAGCTGAGACAGACAGAGAGGGAGATTGAGAGAGAGAGAGGGAGAGAGGGGGGGAGCCAGAGAGAGTGAGTAAGTCTTGACTGCAACAGCGCGATATTTATCGCCGATACTGCGATCGAGACCCGTGGGGTCGACTGCGACGGGGCCTGAGACTAGGCACAGTGGGCATAATTAAGCAAATCTGGCATAGAAAGTATCGAGCAAAGAATTATTGAAGAAACATTATATGGAACTTTAATAAATATATATATTATAGAATATATTTATTATATATAATAGAAAAATAGAGACAGGTTTATAATAAAAATAATTTTTTTAAATAATATTAAAGCAATATATTAACATTATAATTAATTATAATATTATAGGTAAATATAATATTATATTACTATTATTATATTATATTATTAAAGCTTTTTGTATTTTCTATTTTTCCAGCATTAATTAATATTTATTTTGGTTCTCAATTTCAATTTTGAGCTGTCAGCCTTCCATAGTGCATAGATCACCAACGCAGCATGGGGTATATCGACGTCAAATATCTTGAATCGGACACTGAATGTAGCTCGTAGACACACGACATGCAAATCCACATGGCTGGGGGCATGCGGCCAGCATTGCTGGGGGTATTACCGCTATCAATTAGCCAATGGGGGCGATGCAGGTCCCCGGATGATAAGCGATCACTGATTGAGTTTGAGCCATGATTAGGTGTAATTGTGTAAGCCAAGCTAAAGATATTGAATAGGAAATTAAATTAATATGCAATAAAGCAAGTAAGTGGGTGAAAGTAGGGTCAATAGAAGAGATACCTATATAGATGGATAGATCTATAGATGAATAAATATATAGATGGCAGGCTATAACTTGGAGAGATATATAGATGGAAGGATATATAGATTGACTCGAAAAGTTTTACTAGGATTTTGATACAGATATAATGACTATATAGAGTCGAATACGCCTTATATTGCTTCTTAACATGATAAGGATATAGGACTACCCAATCTAAAATAAGTAACTGCGAGAGTTATCTATAAGAGAAGGAGAGGTTTCTATTCAATATGTTTGAGAAACAACTCTCTGGATATCTCTGAAAAATATACTTCTCTGATACTCTTAGGTATACTTGATACTAGTAAGATAGAGATAGAGAGATTCTCAGAGAGATATTCTTAGTTTACACATGCATATATAATTTAGCTTCCCGCATATTGAAAATATTAACAAAATGAATGCAACTTGTAAAATACTTGATTACCTGCACTTACGATGTAATTGATGGCAACTTCTATGAATTTAACACAGTCATTATTTATGGCTGCCGCTGGTCAAAGAAAACTCTTTGGCTAGGAAAAGTCACATTTGGCAGCATTAAAATAATTTCGCAACACATAAATTTTGATTTAGTGCCGCACAGAGTCTATGCACGTCTCTTAAAATCAATTTAGTGGGCCGCCGTCAAGTGGGAACGGCGAAATGGAATGCAAGTGGAAGCGAAACAGACTATCTGCATTACCGCCAGCGCCACAGGTGCGAGCGAGACAGCTGGCGTTTGAGGATGCCATGTGATGCGATGCGATGCGAGGTGGCGGTGCAATGCAGTGGGCCGCGCTGTGTTTGCACCATAATTAGAGGCAATTTCAAACGCTTGCCGCACGACGTTTGCCATGTCGTGCTTGGGGCCCACCGTGGCAATGGAGTTGAGGAGTCCACTTAAATTGATTTATGAGCGCCTGATCGGGCGCATTTGTCGGGCCGTCGGCAGTCGTAGTTCGCCTGGGCTGCAGTTGCTGCTGCTGTTAATTAAATTTGCATAAGTGGGCGCACATTTGACAGTGGGCGTGGCTGGGCATTACAGCTGCTTGCTACTGATTTCCAGGTAAGAGCACGAGATGAATAAAAGGTCTTGCTTGAGACGTGGTGACCTTGGCCCAATTTTTTATTTTTTCCAGAATATATTTCTTTCTCGTCTGCCGCTAACAAGGCGGCAAGGGTCAAGCAGGGGTCAGCTGAGAGACAATGCGGTACTTAATGAATCGGCCGTTCGTATTCTTTGACATTTGTCAACGATTGCATTCCAATCTGGTTTCTCAGGCTTGCCGCGAACAGATTTGTAACTTAATCAGCGTAACATTGTCTAACCGTGGGTAGGAATTAATATTTTGACTTCCTTTTTATTGCCAAAGACAGAGTAAGAGAGAGAGAGAGCGAGAGACAGATATGCACGTAACCTCAATGTGTGCCAACGTAACGAGCAGCCAAACTAACGGCGAAGTCAATTACAAATGGCAAACAAAAAGCAATAGCAATAACAAATCGAAAAATGCACGCATACACATGCACACAGGCGCTTCCCTAGATGCATGCACACACACACACATAGACACAGGCGATTCTATGCTCTCACGCACGCACACATATGCAATGCAATAAATGAGCAACTTTTCGAAACGAAAGTGTCGAAGTTCGAACTACAACCAACAACAACAACAAAAAATCATCGAAGGAACGGCAAACTGACTGAGAGGGCGCTTGCGAGAGCAAGGAAGAGCGAGAGAGATAGAGAGCGCGAGCAGCCAGTAGCCAAAAAGGAAGTGCCATAAAAATGCAATTTTAGATTTCATCAACTGATAAGAAAAGTTTTCAAATTAGCCACAAAATGGAATATGAAATGCGAATATTGCGAATGGAAACTGTAAAGTGAACAACAAACAAAGAACATCTACACACATGCTTGATTAGAAAACAAAACAAATGTGCTAAAGCTGTGCAGTCGAACGACTTTAATATACCCTACAAAAGCGAATAATGCAAATGAAATAAACGATTGAAAGATTGAGTAAAATGAATTTTTCTTTTATGTTTTATAGCTGAACGAAAAGATGCTCTTATACATATTTTTGATAAAAAATTTTAACAATTATGTGGATTGATTACATATTATATATAAATTTAATTGTTCAGCTAATACCTCAGGTCTGCACAAAAATAATATACCCCAACTTCAAATAATTTTCCCCTTTTATAGGGTATAATAAGGACAGCAGCGTATGAGCGAACGTTTAACTAACGGTAAGGCAGCCGCTGTCAGCCGGCCTACAAATGTCAGGCGTCACGCCAAAATACCGTTAGAAAGTTTTGTGCCTGCTATTGGGCTCCACTGTAATGTGGCGCCAGCTCCAGCGACCACCCATGCCCAACGGTCGCCCCCGCGTCCAATATGCATGTAAACTGTAAGCACTAAGCGCAGCAAAAGTATCCATTTCACTTTATCAAATAGCAGCAATCGCAGTGCCAGAGATTAAAATAATAATCAAAAAGGATAAGAAAGAGAAGAAATGCAAAGAAATGCATTCAAGCAAACCAGTCGGCGTCCTCGTCCAATCTTAAAGAACAGATCAATGACAGAGTAGAGCAGCCCAGGCAGTAGCAGCAGCAGGAGCAGACATCGCTCAACATAATTAACGCCATATAATAGAAACTCGCTCGGATTGGTAACAGCATCCGCATTCCGCTCTCTGCAGTCGGGCACAAACAGTAGCTGATGCGGCGCCTGAAGGATTTGTACAAATGTTAATGATGATCCCTCCCTGACAGAGGGCAGTTACCTGTGCGAGTGCGTGTGTGTGTGCGTGAGCTGTTGTTTGCGTTTACAATTTTATCAGTGCAACTGGTGCTAATCCTGCGGGGCGGCAAGTTGTTTGTTTTGGTTTTAGGCAGATTTGGCAAATGCTGATGCGATTTTAATTAGGCTACGCATATTAAAGTTAGTTTATAATATGAAAATCTACTAAAGCTAGAAAAATAATCTACATACAATATACAATCTCGAAATACTTTCTCTTATACCTACTTATTTTATTTGATATGCTAATAACGATTCAAAATTAATTTATAAATAACGTATAGCGTATGGTAGCTCTGTTTATTTTTCGGCAGTCTGGCAGCACTGCATGCAGTGAGTGTTGCAAATTGCCACAATTTAAAAATCTTTGGTAGTTACTGGATTCATTTTCAGTATTTTGGTATATTTTTTTACTAAAAATTCAATATTTTTTTGCTTACAAGAAACATCCAGCAGCAGTCTTGGTTTTTAACAAGTCGTTCGTGGGTCGTGTAAATAATGTAAGAATATATTGTGAATTTGGAATGGCATACAAATCAAATGCTCAAGTGGCAGCAATTTTGATTGATTTATATGTTTATATGTGACAAAAGAAATTAGCTTGAGAAGATGATATGTCATGTTGATAAAGACAGCAGCAGCAGCAGCAGAATGCACACCAATACACAGGCACGCGTATATGTAGCCATACATATGCATATGTATATTTTCCGTCTACGTTTCAATTTGATTTTCGGAAATTTCACCTTCGCTTTGCTGTTTTCGGCTATTTCAAACTTGTTTTTCAGCTGTGTCTGTTTCATAGTCTCATTTTTTTTCTTTCGCTTACCTTTGCCAGCCGCTCACTTTTTTCATTTGCTTACGTATTACGTGTATAAGTGTGCGTGTGCGTTTCACGAAATTATCGCTAATTTGCACTAAAAAGGCCTGTAAGTGGTTTAATTTGATGCGTCTTCAGAGACACATACATACATACATAGCGCACAAACAGGCATTTACATGCTTGAGACTTGCTACAAGTGATCAGCTGTAATTTACATAAAGAAATTGGCAACGCTTACACGGCACGTGTAAGTGTACATTTTACTTATGTATGCATATGTGCATGTGTTTGTTCTGTCAGTGTGTGTATGTGTGTGTTATCGCTAAAGGTGCTGTGCTCGTTCATACATACATACGTACATGCATAGGGCTTGCTAGTAATTTTGTCACATATAACTATACATATGTACATACGTACGAACGTACATATGAAATGGTGTTTGATACCGTCGTCTAATCAAGAAGAAGACCAATCGCGGTCGCTATATGCAATTGATAAATATTATTGGAATGCGCTCTCGGTTTGCATAAATAACGCGTAGTTGCGAAATGTGTGTCAATATGTGAGCCAACGACGCGTTCAAACCAGCAGCAGGTGCAGCTGCCTAGTGTTGTACAACGAATCGAATACATTCATATGCGCTATGTTTGTATTTATGTGCGTGCGAGCGTGTTTGTGTGTGTGTGTGTGTGACCAGTGCAAACATATGGCAAAAATGTCGAACAAAAAATGAAACGAAAAAATTCATAAATAATTGTTGCATTCTCTTCGCAGCCCAAATGTTGCTAACTGAAACTGACTGAAATAATATGGGACTATAGCCAACATAACTGTGCTCCTCTCGCTGCAGTGGCCGTGTCGCAAAAGAGTCCAACTACCAATGCCAAATGGGACAAAGCGAACGCGTGAATGCCGCCCTGATAAACGGAGAGGCGTTGCAAACGAATTAAATTGAATTAGATATCAAATTATAAGAGAACCAAAAAGAAAAAGTAAAACGAATAGTACCAACGGAACGCACCTCTAATCAATCTTATAATTATTTTGATTTGATTTTATTTCGTTTTGCATCGATTAAAACGTGTTTGTTTGCGTTTGCAACAACTTTTTCCACCGTGTCCCCCACCGGCGTGTGTGCGAAAAAGTCTTTGCAACGTTCCAAACAACACGTCGATAAGTACGGCCGCAAAAATTCCTAAATCCGTGGCAGCCAGTAAACTGCAGCGCCTCAAAGCCAAAGCGGCTGCAAGTCAACATTACGGCGGCAGTTATCGTAAGTCCGGCAACGGCATCAGTGTTGGCGGTGGCGGCGGCGGCGGCGGCGGTGGAGGTGGTGGTGGCGTCGGCGGCGTAGGCAGCGGCAGCGGCAGCGCAGCTGGCAGTGATCTAGCTAATTTTACAACTACAAGCGGCTACAATTATCAACGCGGTGGCGCTGCAGAGGAGCGTAGCTTTGCTGCAACAGCGGCGACGTCGGCGTTGGCGTTGGCGTCTTCAACTGCCGACACTGTTGGCGACAAGTCATATCAATTTAACAACAACAACATCAACACTAGCAACAACAACAATTATCAAAAGTCAAACTACACCAGTGCCAATTACAATAATCAGAATCCAACAACCAACCACCTGCCTTACCAGCCTACACCATACTCCTCCCACAACAACAACAACAACAACATTAACAACGGCAACGGGGGAACGATGATGATGACCAAACAGAAGCCAACGCTTACCGAACGCCTCAACATCGGTGGGGATGAGGTACGCGAGCTTAAGTTGGGTGCCACATTCAATCCAAAAAATACAGCGACCGCATTTCACACAATTAAATGTGAGTTGAGCATTTTGCTGGTTGTTCACCAAACAACAAGAACAACAACAACAATTCCGTTTGTTGTACGTTCTGATTACTTATGCAATCCGTCTACGATTTCTAGATGACTTTAAGCCAGCCAGTGTGGATACGAGCCGAATGGCAACTGTGGATGTTGGCTCCAATAATCAAGTTACTGTTACCGTGCCAAATTTAGGTAAGTTTTCATGCCATCCATATTGCCAAACAAAATACCAAAAGACATGACCTATCGATATTGCCAAAAGGATCTTCTTTCTATTTGCTATTGATTTTGTTCTATCCTCTATCGATATTGCCCAAAAGGATCTGCTTTCTACGAGCTATCGATATTCTATTTATGCAATGCAAAATATCGATATTTGCAACTGATTTAAATATTCATGTGTATTCGTTGTGAGAAACGCAAATTTAGAAATTAGCACGAATTTCGGTTAATCGATTTCCGCATTGAGGTAATGAATCATCGTTAGCTTTTACTGTTTGCAAATGACAACAAGCTTTTATTTGTTTACAAATAAATGCCAATGCGGGTATTTTTATAAAAATAATTATACTGAATAAACAAATGTAAATAAAAAGCAAATTTTCAGCTCTATTTGCTTAACTTTATTTAAATTATTGTGAATATGACATTATATCTATATACAATACGACCTCCTATATGTGTTTGGGTAACTGAGCTAATCAGACCATTATAACACGCAATCTGCTTATGCATTTTGTTGATTATTGAATATTATTCATTTAAACTTTGTAAAACAGCAAATAATAATTTCAAATGAAACACCATTAAATTGAAATTTGAATAAATAAGCAAAAATTTAGCTGATTCTACAAAGTATATTGATTATTCATCATCTTAAAGCTATATCGAAATAGCTATTCTAAGGAACATAAAATTACGTGAGAGACTACATTTAGCAGTCTCTGTAGATTATTACGACGGTTTTTATTATCCCGTGCACATTTAACGTTGAATCTCTCAGCAATTTTGTCGGAGGTTAAACCCCGAACTTGTTTTCTTTTATTGAAAGTCACATTAAATTGATGAATTTCCAAAAAGACGGCACGCAAGCGTTTTCATTGAATATTCAGTTCGATTCCATTTATAAAATTACATATTAAGTATGCTAATAAACGGAACATGTTGTCGCGACTGTTGACAAAATACGAAACGCCAATTATATCGATTCCTCGCACGTTAACCCCAAGCCCAGCTGATCGATTCACCGAAAAAAAAACTCCTAATTATGACTCACAGTTGTGTTTGAGTTTTTTTTATAATAAGCAATAAGTAAGCAGTTAGAAAATTACATTGTGTTTTATGCATTGCAAGTGGAGAAGGCGTGAAACTCAAAATACGAAATTTCAGCCTTAAAATATTTATGTATTTACTTTAGTTTAACTCTCTGCATTTTGGTCATTTCTGTTGCCGCCTGCTGATGACATAAACAGCACAAAACTTAAGAGTCTGCCTAATGCATTACTTGAGGGGGAAAAACGAACTAGAAAATGTACTATAGTTGGTAGCTCAACTGCTAGATACTCCTCTTAAAATGCTTGTATATAATACTTTTATGACTGAAATATTATGAAAAATATGTAAGAGAGAGTGTAGATCAATATATATACTTCCACATATTATTAAAATAGTTCTTAACTTATAATTAATGATTAAAATATATAATGTATTTCTTTATAATTTCATTACATATTTTTCAAAATGCCCACTTGACCTCTTTTGTACTAGTACAGGGTATATATAAAAGGTAGAAAGGTAGTCAACGATTGAAGTAAAGAAACCAAATTACATCAAGTCAGGCAAAATGCAGCCAAGCATTCAGGTTTTTATTTAGCTATGCTCTTTGTGTCCAGACAGCTAACAGTCAGTTATTATTGTTATTTATTTAGCTATATATATATAATTTGGTTTTTTGCACAGCTAACTTGGTTTCAGGTAACGCTTCGTTGATTGCCCGAGCATAGTTAAGAAATTTGGCTGGCGATAAAATAAGTGCATTTGTCAGGTGTCTAAAGGTTGGGTCTGTAGAGTTTTGGGTGATTTTTTTTATACCACAAGCGAAACTAATGAAATAAATTATTGATTGAGAATTTCTTATATAATGTAAATGTAGATTTTGAAGTATTTTCTCAGAAGCTGATCAATTAAATAGGAAATTTTTATAGAATTTCAAATGACCTGTAAATATACGATATATATCTATAAATACATCTTCTATGTTTCGATTTTCGTAGCAACAAACTAGAATACCCACTCTAGATTTTAATGCAAGGATATATATGTACGTGTGTGTGTGGGCGCTTGTCGTACATGTTCTTTTTATACCCTGAACCCATTGAAAATGGGAAATCAGGGTATAATGGTTTTGTTAAAAGTATGTAACAGGCAGAAGGAGGCGTGGCAGACCCCACAAAGTATATATATTCTTGATCAGGGCGACGAGCTTAGTCGATTTAGCCCTGTCCGTCTGTCTGTCCGTCCGTCCGTCCGTATGTATGAACGCGTCGATCTCAGAAGATATAAGAGCTAGAGACTTGAAATTTTTTTTCCTAGGTCCGTGTATATCACGCGCATATCAAGTTTTTCTTTATATATCGATAACTACTCCCGATATTTTATTATCGATCAAAAACCTTATCGAAAGCTAGTTATTTAATTATATCTCCTACACCTTTAGAGCTAGAGCTTGCAAATTTTAAATGTAGACTTATATGTATTTTATATAATTTCGATTTTTGTTGTAATTTACCCCCCACCCCTATATCCACCCCCTCACCCTCACCTTTGTAAAAGGCGTATTTCAAGTACTAGAGACATGTGCTTTGGAATGTACATACATTTTCACCATATAATTACGCCCTGAAACTTTCATTAAGATTGTACATCTAGAAATTAAATTATTCAACAAATAAATTCTTATAATGTTACTACACTACAGCGCAACCCAAGCGCAGTTAGCAGAGCGCATTCTAATACGTGTGTGTGTATGTATGTGTGTCGAAAAGAAGTGCAGACTGATTAGAATATCAGATTAGAGGGTTCAGGGTATCTCCTAGTCGAGCAGTCTCGACTAGAGTCTTTTTACTTGTTCTTAATGTGATGCACTAAAACAGAAACATATAATTATATTATATTTAAAATGTTTTGAACTACATTTTGTGTATAAATATCTATTAATTTCTTAAATAATATGAACATCAACATAGAAATAATTGTGGTTCTCAGAAATGATGTCTTTAATAGAGGCTGTCGGTATTAATTTTGATACTCAGAGAAAGTAGTTTGTTGAGGTGTTTTTGACCTAGTTTTTCTTTTTATTATTGTATATTTTTAGCGTGGCTCCATTTAGATCATTTAAAAGAGGTTGAAATATTTGAGGTAGCTGGGTTTACGGGGTACTTCATCATCCACTTCTAGCCACTGGTTTATATACATTTTTGCATTAAAGGGCGCAATACCTCGCATGGATTCGCTAGTCATTTGCAGAAGCAGCCCTGCCTTTTTAATATATTTGCTTCCTTTTATTAGATATGTTCCACATTTATATAAAAAATCAACGTTTGATTTTTTATCAGCAATATATTCGGCATTTCCAATGGAAAGCATAGAGAGCACGACTGAGAAAATAAACGTTATATTAGTTAGGATTTTCTTGTTTAATATATATTTATGGGTTCACCTATGAAGACTTGTTGTAGATGCATGGCAGACTGACTGATAAATAAGAAAGCAAGGCATGAAAAATCGGTGTTATATGGCCATCAAGCGTACTAAATATAATACGAACTGGAATTATGCAAGCGTAAAATTTACATTTCACGAATGTAAATCAAATTGTTCAGCATTACATCAGAAGAAAACAGTTTGTTGGAGAGAATTAAAAAAAAAAAAAAGAGATTTATAAGCTACAAAGAGATTTATGCAAAAACTAAATTCTCATAATATAGCCCATAAGAGAAACATATGAGAATTGAAATATCAGTTCTCCGCAATGATTGAGAGCATCTTTTACTTGTTTATTTTACATACAGTATATATATAAATTTTCTTTAGGCATTAGTTAAGTTCGATTTCCATTCGGGTTCCTTCAAAGCCTCGCCAAATATTTGTACTGCAATTCCGAGCTTTGCCAGAAAAGAACTAATGCTGCCAGTATGGTGTGCAATGTTTTCGACTTTGCCCATTACGGCTGACAAAATATTATCGAATATACCTCTCTCATCCCTTTTTGGCGCTGCATAGATTGCATTCTGCATATAAAATAGAACTGAACAAAGATTATTAGATTGAAGGTGCATCAAATGGTTGAGTCCCTACCGACGATTAGTAAAATCAAACGCATTTTGTTGGATTGCCAACTGGGTCTGTGAAAAATAACTGACTCGGTTTTTGCTCTAGAAAGCCAGATAAGGGCATACAAATTGTTATTAGATAAATTAAATCTACCATGAAACGTATAATTCGAATTTCACAAATGTGGATGAAATTTGATGCCTTTCCAGGTGTGGAGAGTAGTTATTATATCTGATAAGTTACCAAAGGAGAAATTTAAAAAGTTAAAGTTATCAGGATAAATGAATAAAAACCAAGAGATTACAATTGCTGAATTCCTTCTTTCTTTCTATATAGAATAAATCGAAACTCATATTTGCTGATGAAAATGATAATATATATTTTTTAATTTTACATATAGCACAAAATTAAACGATTATGTTAAGGATCTTCTTCTGGCACCTTCCAAGATTCGCCCAATATTTGTAGCTTAATTCCAAGTAATGCTAGTGTTCTACTGATGTTTTTCACATGGCCTCCAACGTAATTGACTGGGGATAATGCGGTTGACACTATAGTACTAAAGAGATTACCAGCAACTAAATTAACATGAAATAGAACTAAACAGAGATTATTTTTGGAAGGGAGTGCTGCAAAATCTTAAATCCTCACCGATGATTAGAAAAGCCAAACGCATTTTGTTGGATTGCCAGATGGATCTGTAAAAAATAACTGATTCGTTTTTCTCTCTAGGAAAAGCTACAGCCAGTTAAGGGCATACAAATTGAAATTAGACATACTAAATCTACCATGAAGTGTGTAATTTGAATTTCACAAATATGGATAAAATTGAAATAAAAATAAATAAATAAAATGTAGAATTTTATTTTTTACATATTGTGTAGAAGTGGACTTTCAATTTTATTCTAAATATTTCCAAGACACGGTTAATATTTGTATTTTAAGTTCAAGCCTTCCTAGAGAACAGACTAGCGTCCTTAATATGACCTTCAATGCTGTCATCAATGATTTCGAGTTTCCATAGTTTGATCATTTATTTTATATTTTGATTTGCTTTTTATAGCCTTTCTATCGTGTTCTATTGTTTAATAAAAAATTGATTTCCGAGAAATGTTTATAGAAAATCAATCAATATTATACAAAATCAATCAATATTTAATAAATTATCTCCTTTTTATTTATTTATTTATTTAAATTATAAATGTTCTGTCGCTACCTGCTACAGACAGATAGCTTGCTTTAGTTTAGCTTCGATTCACTCAAATATGTAGGTATGTAAAAGGAGCTGAGCATTTGTGTGTGTATGTGTATTGATGCCTTAAGTAAGACACTCACTGCTTTGATTTGCAGTTCTGCTTTGAGCTCAATAGTAATTTACCGTTATGAGCAGAGTCAGTTGCTGAGCGAGCTAAAATTAAACTCCAAGTGAGCCTCTCTCAATGACAACGCACATACATACGAATATGCGTTACGGTTCAACTCTCTCTATAAATCTATGTGTGTGTGTGTGTGTGCGTGCATTGGTATATTTTTTGATATAGGTAAGGCCTTTGCCAAATGGCATTGCAATGAGAGAATTTCCCCAAGACAACTAATGTGCATTTTATAGATCACATACGATAACAGCTGCACGCAGAACTGGAGAAGTTGATTATCGTTGAGTTGAATTTGTTTTATATCAAGCTTCTTAGCGCTTTTGGCACGTCGCACACTCGGTGTCTTCTGCACTTTATTGTGGAATTTTCCATAGCGGTTTTTCGCTTTTTGTGCATACACACCCGCACACGCACACCCACACACCCATGTGTATACGTGCATATGCATATAGTATATGTTAATATATGTATTTTATTTAAAGAGAATGAAACTAACAGAATTTCTTTGTTTTCGAGCAGCTGTTCTTTCGCTTGCATTTGCATGGAAATTCTTGTCTCCCCAGACACACATCAACGTGCTCACGTGTGCGTGTGAGTGAGATAGTATGAGAGGAGAGCGTGAGCGAGTGCGTTACGCGATCTCCTTCGTTCTCACGAGCTTATGCCACGCGTACAAAAAGTTTCGCTCGATTGAGAGCGTCTACGATAGATAATACGGATTCAATTAGCCAAGTTCATTGACAACTGAATAAAATATGGAGATATTTAATCAAAATAATATATTGATAAGTCGTAAAAATAGTTTAGTTTGATCGTGCAATCACTCTAATATATGATAGCAGAAAGTATTGTTGCCTAAAGTAGGTGACTATCTGATACCCTGCGTACAAAGTTGAGCCACTATAAGACATGATGATTGAGCTGCTGTCAAGAAACTGGTGCTGCATTAAATCCTTATTTATTATGCTCTTTAAAGTCTTTATGGAAGCTAAGTAGTAGTAACCGAAATTTATGGCATAATTTGATCGCGTGATTAAGAAAATTAAGTGCTGAACTTATTCAGTGATCTGTGAATGATATATACTTATTTCCACATATCATAACCGATACTCTGTGCTCAATCAATCGGTCATGAACGATTAACTTTGTTCAACGATTGATGAACAATACGTCAGCATCGAGCTATTTAGCGTTCGTTGATGAGCGGGGGAATATAAAGAGCTGATCTATTGCATTTCATTTATGCGGGACTAAATAATATGTAAAGCTAATGAACGTATAAGTAAGTTTTTAGGTAAATGATCTAATATCTGGATGAACATAAATGTATTAATTCATAATCGATATTTATCGATTTTATGAATATATGTAAGACATCGAAAATAAATATTTTCAAAAGCTCTACTACACATATAAAAATTGAATGAGATGATATTCGTTATCGTTATCGTAGTCTTTTTATCGATAACAGAATGGAGCTGTATCGTTTGCCTTTTACATTAAGCCGCTGCTCATCATGGCAGAGGCTTGGCTTTAAGCTCATCGTTGTCTTAGGTGCACTTTCAATGATTACCGTTCAACTGACACACACACACACACACACACACACACACAGCTGAGCGCGTATCTAAGTGCACACATTAATACAATTTACGTGTAACAAAACAAATTCCAAAAGCACAACCGGATTTCAATATACGATTTCGTTGATTGTTGTTGCTGTTGTTGTTGTTGTTGTTGCTGTTGTTGCTTGCTCTGCTTTTGTTTATGTCGTTGATTTTGTTGCTGTTGTTGTTGTTGTTGCCTGGTGCACGCTTTCATTTTATTTGCTTATTATATTGTTGTTGTTGTTGCTTTGTGCAGTTGAGTTGATGTCGCTTGGCTGAGTTTTGGCAGTCACTGCTGCAATGCATGCATGTCAAACTGTAAGCGAGAGCTGAACAAACATCAACAACAACAGCAACAACTGTGAGGCGGTTATTCAACAGGCGAAAGGCAACAGAAAGAAATAATAAGAAAGAAAATAAAAAAACAAAACGAAATAATCAAAAAATAAATAAAAATCGCAACACTTGCGACAATATAAAGAGTTCAAGTCAAATACGAAAATAAAAATAAATCACAAACCACAATTGCAGGCACTCAAAACAACCTTGCCCCTTCGCTCTAAATACTCTACCTGTGTGCGTTATTACTCAATTTGACAAGCTAAATGTAACACAAGTGACATGTGTATATGTACATAGTTCGTATGTACATATATACATGTGTTATTATGTCTGCCAATTGAGAGTAGTTAAGACCTTAGTTGGGTGATTTATTGTAGTAGTAGTAGCTATAGCAGTTCGCCTGCATTGGTATTGGTTTTCTCATCAACAGACTTTGTGATTGTCTTTCGATGTGCTACTCTGGCCTACTCTGTAACCACTTGAGAATTTTATGGGAGCGTCATGTCAACTGAAGCCAGCGTCCTCTTTTTGTGTATCCAATGGCATTCAAGTATACTTGGGAGCATATGGGAACTATAATATTCTATATTAAATATATTTTAATGTATATAGTACTAATGTAATCAAAGAAACTCTTTTGTTTATTAAATAATTAAGAAATACATTATATTCTCTTTGGTATTTACAATATATATTATTTACATACATGCTTATGTCTCTTTGAGAGTGTATTTCATATTCGGCCATTCGCAATATGGTGCTCTCTCTCTCTCTCTCTCTCTCTCTTTCTGTATATCTTCTCCTCCTCCTCTCTTGGGCAAGCTTTTTATTCGCCGGCACTGAGTTTGTGCCTATAAAAAATATGTTTATATGTATATATATATATATTAACTTGAAGTTTATATACAAATACATTAATTTGTATATATAACTTCCATACAGTTTCACTGTACTTCCATACATATATATACTATATATTAATAATTTCTATTGTTTGAGCAATTTTTTAATGATTTTTTTAATTTATTTAGTTATATTTTTTGTTATATGCTTTTGCGAATCGAGGCCTTAAATTGGTCGCATTTTATGAGGAATACTGCGTTAGTAATAATGTGCAATTGTTTTTATTTTTTTTATCTTATTATGAGTAAGAAAATTAATTAATTAATTAAAATTAATTAATTAATTAACTAGAAGCAAAAATGACCTTTCTAAGAAAAAAGAACAATTTTAAATACATTTTATATATTATTTAAATATTTTTAAATATATTATTATTATAATTTAATATTTAAATTTTAAGATTTTTTTTTGTTTATATGCGTTATCTTCTTTATTTGAACCTGGCAAAAAAAATTAATAATATTGCAAAAATAACTATAAAATTAGTGACTTCTTTGGGTTTCTCTTAAGGTCACTCCCTCCTTATCTTTGTATATTTATTCACTTGACAGATATTCATAGATAAATTACGCTCTTAAGAGATATTTATAAATGTCTTTTTACTTGTTGATTTCTTATCTTATAATGTTTTCTTATCGAACGTTAGCTTTTGGCATTTTCAAGTCGCATTCACAAAAATTGTTCATATTGAGCTGAAGTTTTTGATTGTTTGAGCAGCCGCTAAAACACTTGACTTCAGTTACACACACAAACACACACCCATACACACACACACCAAGACGCGAGTAAAAGTTTCATCTGAGATACTTTGCGGCGTACTTGAAGCAACTGAATGGAATGATAATTATAGTTTACCCAACTTCTTGGGGCATTGGCTCAAAGCAGCTTTTGGAGCAAAGTGAATTGAAATAAATTGAAAAATGATTGTTGATTATCGTTATTTTTTGTTCAAAACGGTGCAATAAGACGACGACATGAATCGCTTAAATATATATATGTATATATAGGTCTTTTCATAATACATTTAATATATTATTTAAGGCATCATCTTAATTTCCTTCATAAATTTACATTCACTTTTTTGAGCAAATGTGACTTGCAGTTGTCATGCTGAATAAGGCCCTGAACTCGTTTCTAAATGACAAAGTTGAACAAAATGGCTTTATATATAAGGTATATACATATATATATATATATATATATATATATCATTATGTTCAGCTTAAACTGTAATTCTTATTGAGCCATGCTAAATTCTGTATGATATTTCAATTTCGATTTTCTTTCCAGAAAGTTCCGGTGTGCCTCAAACAGTTTATAAGGGTAATCACAAAAAATATACAAAAGAATGCCTAATCATATTCGACAAGGAAACGGGTGCTATCACACTAGAGAAGCTAAACCACAATATACAAGTGAAGAAGACAAGGTAAGTCTATACATAATTAGGAACATAATTAAAGTCTCTAATACAATTTGGCACTCAACCAACAGAAGCGAAATGACAAACAAGCCAAGCTTGATGCCTGCTACAAATGCTGCACCCATGTCCTCTGGCCCGAATGGTGTGCCAATGCCGTCCGGGGCAATGGCTGGTACGGGATCTGGCCCTAAACTGGAGAACAGCACCATGCGCATAACATCGAAGACGAAAGTGTCGACGGGCAGTCGCCGGAACAACATAAGTGAGTAAAATGCATATAACATTGCCTTAACATTGGCTTAACATGCCTGATTTTTTTTTCACAGTTGATTTTAAGCCACGCAATTCGCCCATGCAGCAGAGCTCACCATCACGTCCAGTTGCCTCACACCGCAGTCCGCAATCGGCGCCGGCGTAAGCATTGCATTCTCTCTATATATATTTCCTATTCACATCTATATCTTTGCTCTTTAGCTGGCATGCCAACAATGCCCAGCAAACGTTGCCCAGCATACCTATGATAATGGACGATGATGACTTTGGCTTGAGTGCAGCGCTGCACAATGGCGGCGGCGGCGGCGGCGGCCAGGCGAACATCTCGGGCTCCTCCACAGGCTCGTCAGTTGGCCAGCCGGACTATGGCTCAGTGAACATGGGAAAGCAACGGCAGGCGTCGAGCCAAGGTCACGCCAAGCGGCAGCAGCAGACGCAACGTTCAAGTCCGCCCATGCAGCAGCAGCAGCAGCAACAGAATTATGGACGTGGCGGCGCCAACAACAACTACGCACAACAGCTGCACCAGCAACAACAGCAGCAGCAACAGCAACAACTGCAGCAGCAACAACAGCAAATGCAGCAGCGCGCCTCATTTAGCCATAGCAATCATAGCAATAGTATGCCCCTGGATTTGGATTCGCCCACTCATCATGAGCAGGCGGCGCAGTCTATGGCCCAGGCAGCCGCCGTGCTGGAACAGGTTGGTATCTGCAGCGTTTGCCATCGCATTGCTCGTTAACAGTTTCAATTCCTTTGCAGCAAATTGGCGGCGAACTGAGTGCATCCAGCTCGAGCTCCGAGTCCGAATCCAGCGACAGTGACAGTGGCAGCGATTCTGATGACAGCACCGAGGATGACCGTTCCACGCACCAGCAGCAGCAGCCGCCCGGGCAGCTATCGCAACATCATCATCATCATATGCAACAGCAGCAACACATGCATCAGCTGCCTAATCTGGGACTGGGCTCTATATCGCCCACATATAATAGTCATCAACATCATCAACAACAACAACAGCAACACCAACAGCAGCAGCAGCAGCAGTCGCATCATCATCATCACCAACAGCAGCAGCAACAGTCCAGCATTTATGCATCCAATGGTGGCTTCCCCAATGACTTGCTACAAAACGATCTGCAATTGTCCTCAAATTCGTCCGACGATGATGATTAGCCTTTTTTAAATAGTAAACCATTTAGTTGTAATCTATATATTGCCTTCTTTGTGGACTACTTTAAACAACAGCAACCAACGACCATAAGCAAATATCAACAAAAATCATTATGTAGTGAAAAGGAAAAACCAATATTAATTATTGATATTCATTCTCTCTGCGTTTAATTAATTTGAAATTATTATTGAATGGTGAATTTAATTGCTAGTGAAATTTTTATAAATAAATTTTTAGTTCTATGGTTACACATGCAGACACACATACACATACACATATGCATATACATATACATATACATAGACATATATCTATATATATATATATATCTATAAAGCTAAAGCTAAACTAAATGATAATTTTTAACATTACTTTTAGAAAAGCAAACAAATGTGCTGGAGAACATTGAAAGCAAACAAACACCACAACCACAATGTAATTCGTAATTGTAAATGCTAAGCGTACTTTTGCCAATATTTCAATGTACATTCGTTTTAAAATTAAATCAAAGGTTATGTGAACAACTTGGCAGTCCAACAGCAACAACAGCGACAACAAATTATTTAGTTTCTAATTGAATATTGAAGTGTGTATATATACATATATATATATATATATTATACATGTACGTGAAATGGAACGGATAACAAGAAATGACCAGAGCGGATTTTTGCCATTAATTGCGCATTTTAGTCTAAGCAATTTTTCAGCTAACATTTTAGATTTAACAATTTTTGACAAACAAACAAACACCAAAAGAGACGGACAACAAGAATACAATATACATAATAATTAAACAAATAAACCTAATATAAATAATTAACTAAATATACATTGTAAATTAGTTTATGCTTTGTAATCATTATTATTATTATTATTATTATAATTATTAATTTTTTTCTGTTCTTTTCTTCGATCGTTTTAGTCAAGTAAATTTTTATATGCGATTAATTCATTGTCATTGTTATTGCGCAATAAAAGAAAAGTTTATGTTTAATTTTCAATTAGTTTTGTTAGACGATATTGCGAAAGTATTTAGTAATTAATGCTAGCGTGCGGTATGAAGACATCTATCTATGTTCTTAGCTCATGTTTTTATTTGAATTTATTTGTAATTTTTTTAATTAATTCGTAATTAACTATTATTATTATTATTAAATTATATTATAATTTTGTTATGTGCTTGCAAATTAGTTTGAATGCAAAAGCAATGAATTGTGGAAAAATAAATATGCATTGAAAGAACTCTCAATTTAATTTAATTTCTTAGATTTTTTTTTTTTTGTAACTATGTAAATTATTTAATTATTATTATTATAATTTTTTTTTACGATAACTGCAGTTTGGATAATAATGCGACTCCTTCCAATAGAGAAATGCACTTAAGAAAATGAATAATGAAAAATAAGAAGAATAACATTTTTGTTAACATTTTACACTAATAGCATTTAGTTTCCTATACAAAAAAGCATTTGTAAAGAACCATCCAGAAGAAGAAGAAGAAGAAGAAAATAAAAACGAAAAACAAACGACCAACAGTTGAAACGTCTACACATAAACAAAAGAAGAGAGAATAATAGAATTATTTTTTTAAATGAATTAAACTTATGAAATGTTGACAAAAATCTATGTTTGATTTCCAAGCCATAGATATTTCATTTACAAATCATTTTTACGACACCAAAAACAAAAAACAAAAACAAGCAACAAAAAGTAGATGAAGAAACTGATAATTGATTCTGATAATCATAAGCACAATGTATGTTGATCTATACAGCTTAGAGAACTAACTAAAATTAATTTTTAATAGAAAAGTACAGAACGAGAGAGAGGAAGAGAGAGAGAGCGAGCAAGGGGAAATACTCTATAACAATGAAAAATCAAGCAAGTAGTTTAATTGATAAGCAAATGTACGCTATATATATATTATAATGACATACATATATATTCATACAAGCATACCATACGACGATAATGATAATGATAATGTCAATGCGATACCCAAGACCGTAAACACTCGGCTCTTGTAGCAGTTGAACTAGTTTTAATTACAAAGCAAACAACAAATCAACCAATACAATGATGACAAATGCAACGTTATGTAAATAGTTAAGAGCACACACTCAAACACTCATGCACACATACACACACAGAGAGAGTACATGCCCTTGAAAATGCCTTTACCATGTAAATAGATGAACGAAGATCGAAGCAAGAGAGTTACACAGCTTCGGCTGCCGATTACATTTAAATAAAGTGAACGAATTATGTATACAATTAAAAGAATTATTATTATTTCATATAGACCCACACATATACATAAATGATATTATTGACACTATAGATATTCACATAGTAGAGTCTGAGATCCTGTTAGCGCTGGTTGGCGGCAATACCTTTGGCTTGATGATCACAAATCGGCAAACTAAGGCCGCATCTATCATCATCACCGCGGCGGAGTTGTCAAACGTGTTGCAGTAGTTGGGCGCCGAGAAGACTGTGACCAGTCTGCGTCCGGCAAAGAATTCGTACCCATCTTCGACCACCTGATGGGCGCGCACCATCAAATTGAATTTGTGCGCCTCGAGGAAGGCGTTGACAATGTTGGCGCCAAAGGTGAAGCTGACGCCACGATCATTTTCACCCCAATTCTCGATATTGTTATCGGGATCCGACCAGAGCAGATCGCAGAGCAGTCCGTGCGGCGGCACTTCAATGGGTCGCGGTATTTGACGTATGACACTGACATCATCCAGATCCGGACTTAGTCCTCCGTGACAGCAGAAGACTTTGTTCTCGATAATGGCAGCCACGGGCATACAGTTATAGCAGTCGACAAAGGTGCGCCACAGCTTGATGCTGTAACGGCGCTTGCACTCGTCGAAGAAGCCGTAGATGCGATTCACTTCACTCGACTCGTGATTGCCGCGCAGCAGGAAAAATGTCAACGGATATTGGATTTTGTAGGCGAGCAGCAGCGTCAGCGTCTCAATGGACTGTTGCCCTCGATCCACATAGTCACCGAGGAACAGATAATTGGCTTGCGGTGGAAAGCCACAGTTCTTGAATATGCGCAGCAAATCCTCATATTGTCCATGTATATCGCCGCAAATCTTAATGGGTGTACTTAACTCCAATAGCATTGGCTGGCTGAGAAAGAGACTACGCGCAGCCATGCACACATTCGTTAAGGTCCTTTCCGATAGGACGACGCCAGCTAAGGGCGTTTTATTGGTCGATAGCTTCAGTATTATTTCCTTCAACTCTACTGGGTTCAATTCTGTGGTCCTACTAACGGACGTTATACGATAAGACATAATTTTAGTATACTCTTACAACTTGATTTTGAAACGGTTTCTTATTTAAAATGGCCCGAAAACGTTGCACAGCACTGATTGTGGTGCATAAAATCGAAACGGCAGTACAAACACACAATTCCTTATCGATATTTTTTTAATACCTATATATATCGATATAATTCGTAAACACACCGGTTGCTGCGTGCGGCAGAAAATTGACATTTTAAAACGAATCCATTGGAAGACTTTAACATGATACCAATTGGCAGCAATGATAATGATGTAATTAAAAGAAATGAATTTTTATATTTCATAGATTTAAGAAAATAATACCGGAAGCTGGAAGAGATGAGTTCATTCTTTTCGCAGTCTTTTCGTTGAGTTGCGTCATCGGCTGTTCAATGGCAAACAGCTGATTAGAATTTCGACAAACAGCGTGTTTTTTTTTTATTACGAATAGTTGAATTTCACCAATTGGAGAGATAGCAACAAGTGATTCTGGAAAAATCATGGGTGATGTTACGGGACTAACCAATGCAGAAGCCGATGAGCTATGCCAAAAACAGGATGCCTCTACTAAGGTAAGATGAAATAAAATGAGTTTTCGGGTTTGTAAATAATATTGGCATCAAATTTTCGACAGGACTTCCTGTTCCAGCAGACCATGTACCGCATCAAGGATCCACGCAAATCACTGCCCTTTTACACTGGTGTCTTGGGCATGACTTTGCTGGTGAAATTGGACTTTCCAGAGGCAAAATTCAGCTTGTACTTTTTGGGGTATGTGCAATGACGCTTGCAATTTTCTATAACATCTGGCATTTATAACATCTGTTTGCACAGCTACGAAAATCCTGCCGATATACCCAAGGATCCCAAGGAACGTCGCAGCTGGGCAATGAGCCGCAAGGCCACCATTGAGTTGACTCAGTAAGTTTGACCTTTTGACCTGTCTAATATGGTTTATTGATTTTGTGAGTTTCTCTATCTATTGTATTATTATAGCAACTGGGGCACCGAAAGCGATCCAGATCAAAGCTATCACAACGGCAACAGCGATCCACGCGGCTTTGGCCACATCGGTCTGATGGTGCCCGATGTCTATGCGGCTTGCAAGCGGTTTGTCTGAGAATGCCACAAGATAAACATAGTTATTAATGTATGTATTATTATTGCTATATATCTTTCATGTGCAGCTTCGAGGAGCACGGCGTGGAGTTCGTCAAGAAACCCGACGATGGCCGCATGAAGGGTTTGGCCTTCATCAAGGATCCCGATGGCTATTGGATTGAGATTTTCAATGCCTATACCATACCGAACTAGAAACTGAGATATGAGATGAATCATTTTCTTTTCCTGCCACTTCAAATTGTTACGCAAATGACAATTTTTTTTCCACACACACACACATACATATATTTTGTTGTTTTTAAGAGATTAAAGTATATTTTCGCAGGATACAAATCAAAAGCTATATTTACTAATGGCGTGACAATTACCACAACAACAACAACAGCAACAACAACAAGAACATACACTGTCTAGCCTTTCATTCATAAAGCCAGCCGTATATGTACATATATGTATATATATAATTGGCTCCTATGTCCCTAATTGATTGACATATAGCTGCCACTCTAATTATTATTTACAGCAGCATGTGGAACGCTGGGACAGCCGGACAAAACTATTGTCAACAATGCAATACTGATGTGTTTTGCGTTTCCCTTTTGCAATTTTCACTTAGGCTGTCCGGCTCTAATATTGGTCAAACACGGGAGCGTATTATTTACGCAGTGTCAAATGTGCTGGAAAAACAAACAGAGAAAAGCGTAGTTTTCACACGACAGCGGCG